CGTATGGAATAATACTATTTTTATTGTGTCAGGTGTTCGCGGTGTTAGGAACGTGATTATGATCATTCATTACTATTCTTTTTTATTTTAATACAAATTATGTCCTTTATTTTATGTGATAACTCGATTTCCAAGAATTGTAGATCAAAACATCGAATTAATCCTCTACTAAAGTTTAGAGTATTGTAAGGAGACACTTGAATTGAAAATTGGCCTCTAAAGTTATCACATTCTATAAGTTTTTCGGATTGATTTGTATTTTTTATTTCAATCAGCCTTTCTTATTTTTCTGAGCCATTTCTTATTTTTCTAACTTATTTTTAAGATCTGCTACTAAACCTGTCAAAATGTATTAATAAAGAAAGGTGGCACTTTCTGAAAGTCATTTTCATCGGTTCTTTGTACGATGAGGAACGTTGTTCCACACTAATATCAGAGAAAAAGTATCGGTACAATATAAGTATCAGAATACAAGTATAAATACAAATATGATTATTTAAATGTATTCATATAATCATAGTATTCTAATGTATCGATACATTGGAACCAATATTTTGGTTTATACTTGGTTGTTATCAATATTTTTGCTTTTCTTTTTCTAATAATCATATTATTAAAGAAAAAAGTTATAATAAATAAATAGAGTATTCTAAAGTATCAATACTTTTGAAACAATATTTAATTTACATTTGGTTGGTACCGATTCTTTTGTTCTGATATTAGTGTGGTATCGATTCATAGTTACTATCGGAAACTTCTAATAATCTGATTATTTTATTTTTATTTATTCAGAAATATAACAATCTCTCACACGGATAATAATTATATTTCGACATGAACACATTCACACCATATATGTAGAAAACATAAAATAAAAAAAAGCAAAATAACAACTTAATCATGATCTGATTATTAAAGAAAAAAAAAGTAAAAATAAATAACTAAACTATCCTATAGTATCGATACTTTAGAACCAATATTTTTATTTATACTTGGTTGATACAGATACTTCTTCACTGATATTAGTGTGGCATTGAATCGCAGTTGGTATCGGAAAAAGTATCGTTTAAATAGAATGAAAAAAATTAATTATTAAATAGAAGAAATACTAGAAAATATCAATACTTTAGAACCTACTTTTGAATCATACTTGGTTGTTACCGATGTTAGTTCATTGGTATCGTTACTTTTGGTTATTTTTTAACGATTCTCTTTTCGTGTCTGTTTACGAATTGTTATAATCTTTAGTTTTTATTTAATTAACTTTTTTTTTAAAGATAAATGATAAGTAATAAAATAAATAAGTTTTCAGAGGTATTATGCGAAGCCATATTTGATTTATACTTCTCTAGTTGTGATACTTTAGGTTAAATATAATTTGGTGTTAATACTGTTTAGTAATCAAGCTAATTTAATAATTAGATATATTGTCAATTAATTAAATAATTTTTACTTGAATAACCGTTAAAACAAAGTGAATACTTAAAAGTTTCGATACTTGAAATTAGGTACCGATACTTCTTTGGTATCGTTAAAGCGGTAATAATTATCCAACTTTATAACAAAACACGAAATACTTAAATTAGTGAAACATTAATATAAGTATTCTAAACTAAATTATTGATTTCGATCTTCTTAGAGTAACTAATACTTAAATGAGTGTAATAGAAGTATACCAATAAATATCGTATGATTTGGACCGATATGTTTCTTTTAGTGATCGTTGGTAAAGATACTTTTACTGTGAAATGAATGTGGTATTTATACTTCGTTAGTATCGGTAAACCCTATTAATAGTTATTACTACGACTAGTGAGTAATTAAAGTTAAAGGACAAAGGTCTAAGTTTCATCGAATGGCGGTAGAAGGTTTCTTCTTTTTCTTGTATGGGATGTGAGTGAGATGCGAAATTCAAGATTTTAAACTCTCCCCCCTCCCCTCGGATCACTTTTGGAAATCCACAAAACTGCTAAATGTTTGCACTTTTTTTCGGTTTTCGCCCATGAAGAAGCACGTTTTAGACAAAAACACTCGATACACTTTTAGAATAGAATAAATATAATACAATTTATGACCAAAACAGATTCGGTAAGTTTAATACTTTTTGTTTTCAAAGTTTTGGACATTTTTCGAACTTGAAAATTTTAAGCTATTTTTCCTGTTTGATTATATGCAATTGTCTTTATATCTTCAATAACTGTTCTTATGTGAATCAGTGAAGTAAATTTTTATTCATTTTAACATTTTGAGGGTTGTGGAGAGAGAGGAGGGGTGGGGAGGAGGAGAGGTTTGGTGCGAGAGGGGAATCACTTTTACAAACAGAAGTCTGAAAATGGAATAAAAAAAAAATATTTACCCAACTATGTATATCAAGTACATACAAAAATTCTAAATGAAGTGAACAAAATTTTCGAAACTTGAAAATTTTAAGCTAATTTCATGTTTATGTCTTCAATACCCTGTCTTAGTGAGTACTGAGTTAGTGAAGTAAACATTTATTTAAGTTATTATTTTGAAGGAGTAAAATACATGGGTATAGGAATGGCTAAAAATAATAAGAGATAGAAGAAACCGTATGTTCATTTATGTGAATTTAATATCATAAGCTAATTGATAAAATAAGTGAGTCATTTATTGCGTACAATTTTTTTTCTAGTAAACCAGCGGGCTTAAAAATAAGGATTTACCTCATCTTTCAAAACTCTCTTCGAATTAGAAATTTAATTTCAGAGACCAGTATTATACATTGGTACAAATCATGGCAAAAGATACAAATATATAAAAAAAAAGAAATTCTCCTCGGACTGTTGAGATGGTCCATAATATTTGAAAATATAACCCGAAACTAATGGAAACATTATTTGGTGGAATAAATATGTAATAGACAAATCAAGAGAATAGCACTATAACAATGCCTTTTCTAAAGATCTTCTGATTAAGTGCATTTTCTAAAGAATAGTTTCAAATATGTCATATTAATCAGTGATTTAGAAAGATAGATGTATTCTCTAGATGTTTTATTGCAAAGCGTTTTTCGTCATTGTTGGCCGTTTAATTACAAATGACGCTTGATTTTCAACATTAGTTTGAACCACTTACCAAAAAAAGTTGACTTTATTGGTATCGCTTACTCACTACCGAAGTTAGGGAAGCATTGTGTTCGCCCGAGAGGTTAAAAAAAGTTTGGTGCTGAGAATCGAAAATTTCCACTCGCGTTTTACGTTTCAGACATCAAGAGCTAACGAATCGGAGGCAGTGAAGACTTTATAAGTAATGGTTTTATTCATAATGTTACAAATGGCATCTAAAATACAGAGTAATATACTATGGATAATGGGTTGACTACACGAGTTCACTCCAGGTCTCCTACAGTGAAGAGTGTGACTTCAAGAATGTAACTACATGAGTGATTTGTTCTTAGGAGCATGGGGTTTATGTACCCAAGAATAGTGGGGGGGGGGGTTGAAGGGAAGAGTGGGTGAAGTCGGAAGAGGACGGCAAAGGAAGTTATCAATAGTTAATATTCTTAAGATGTCTGTCAGAAAGTGCCCTTTGGCTGAAATCGGTTATTGTTCCCTCTTTATAATGGGTCTTCTGTCCCGTCAGTATATTCTAGATAACTATTTCTAACCTATCAGAGATAGCTTGACCTGGCTATCTAGGGTTTTGTGCTTTTATGATTTGAGTCGTGAGAAACTAAAAGATAAAACATGATTCACCAATTGGGTTATTTAACAAAATAAAATTAAATTAATATCACTATAATTATTTGTTACGGGTCCATTCCATAACTAAGGATCAAATTTGGTTCAGTGTCTTTCTGTCTGTCTGTAGTCAAATCGATGTGACGGGCATATCACCTAGTACCGTTCATCCGATTTTCATGAAATTTTCAGGGATTATGTGGATTGGTGCCTAGAAGGTCCCATATCAATTTTATTAAATTCAATCTAGCACTACCACATACGCACGCGCAAACGTATTTTTTTAGATATGCCAATATTTCAGAAAGGGCTCGTGCGATTTGGCTCAAAGTTAGATAAAAGGTAGGTAATAGTGAAAAATAACGTAATGTCAATTTTATTATATTCCGTCCACTAATTTTTCGTATATGTACCCGAACGTGTTTTCCTTGATACGTCTGTATCTCTAAAACCGCATGTTCGATTTGGCTCAAATTTGGAATGAAGTTAGGGATTGGTAAACAGATTATCATGTAGGTATGAATTTTACCAAATTCTATCCACTTCTCCTAGAAAAAATGCTTTCGCTTTCGGATAAGTAACCGTATTATTTGGCAAGCCTATAGATTGAAAATTACGCCTTCAATTTGACCCAAATTTGGAAGAAATTTTTACAATAGTATAGACATTTCCTAACATGAATTTCATTGAATTCCATTGTATAATTAAAATTAATATAAATAATTGTTACAACAATGTAATGGCAGTGAAATGTGAAAGGCACTGATCATATGGAGTGGGAGTTAGGTTATGACAATATTTTTATGGGGATATAAAATTTTAGCTATTATTCAAAGAGTTAATTTATACTGTATTGTTTCGTCGATTCAAAACGTTATTTAGATTTCGTGTAATTTTTAATCAATTAAATTAATTTTTACTCTGAGTTTGTAAAAAAGAAAAATGTTATTTGTGATTGTGTTTATTTCTATTGAAGTTCAACCAGCTCGTCCGAAAAAGGATTCTCCCAAAGATTTTATTCTCATAGGAAAAATTTTAAACATTGTAATATAGATATTTTTTAGACAATGCAAACCGTGAGAAAGCTATAATGACATTCCTTGGCAGAAGATTTATTTATTGGCAAGGCCAATTTTTTTTTATCATATTTTGTTATACTCTGACTACCCAGCTTTATTAATACAGTGTAAACACACACACACACACATGTACAAATAAATATTTTAAAATGTATCTATAAATATATAAACATAAATTTAAATTACTCTAAAAATCAAAATGAACCTTATCTTTCAGATCAAAGATCAAGAGGATGGTTGATGGTAGATTCGCCGGTGCCTACTGTATTATATACCATTCTTTATTTGGTCATTGTTGGAATCGGACCAAGGTTGATGAAGGATCGAAAACCTTTTAAACTTACTTGGTGTTTGGTTCCATATAATTTAGCCATGAGTTTGCTCAATCTCTACATTGCTATCGAGGTTAGTATCAAAATATTTAATTTATCTTTTACCTTATCAAGGATAAAAATATAACTATAGTTTCATATAACAACTAAGCCTGCTAGTGCAATGGTTTGTGAAGGATCTGTAGCGGCCGTTCCAGAACACTACGTAGTTCACAAGTCCGCAGCTCCAAAGGCATGCACTCACGCATTAGTCCGACAAGTACTATTAATTTCATATTATTATAATGTTAAAACTGCTGTTAAATTTTGTAAATATGTGTATACTAAAAATTAATGGTTATAAGTTATACAGATCCAAGCTTAAAACAGACACTAGTTGATACAACTCACGTAGTATGATTACTCTTGAGTCCTTAGGACGCTGATATAATAAATTTATTGGAAGTAACAAACTATAATATCACGGGGTGAGGGAGGGCATCGGAGTATGGAGATAATGTTTGGAATGCATCCTATATGCCCATATGCCATATATAATATATGCCTATTAAAAAATACCATCTGGGGCAAGTATTGTGTTGTTTTAAGCCATTCTTGATGACAATAAAGAGTTAAGTCACACAAAATACATTAATCTAAAACAGTATAGTATTTTAATAGATGATTCCTTTTACAGTTTAATTGAGTTTATGAATCTAAAATAGGACACAGTTAAAAAAATTCTACTATACCTGCTAGTAGATAGATAAAGTCCTTTGTAATGGTATTGTAATGTACACGATCGAAATGTTCATGAATTTCATATTATAGCAATCTGTGATTTTTGAATCATGCAAAGTACATGAACCTATCTATACCTATTCCTCCATTTATTAAATGATGGAGTGTCTAATATTCTCCTAATCCTGAATCAACCTGCACCTCTAAAGACTTCCACTGTTCGACGTCCTGTTGTACTCTGGATCAATCCCAGAATCAGAGATTCGATTAAGAGAGGAAACGCTGCTTTGTGACATTTCAGACGCACACTAAACCCGGATGATTACATTTTTTTCAAACTCCTTCGAAACGTTACCCAGTCGTCCTTGCGCCGTGCTTAAATACAATTCTTCCTTATCACAAACCCCAGATCCTAATACCAGATGGAAAATCCTTAAGAATCTAACCATTGTTAGGTCAAAAACTTGTACATCTTATCCTGTTTCTCTTGTTGAAGTGAAATTCTAATTTTCCGATCCAATTCCTATACAATTATCTTTTTTACACTGTATTCCAAAAACTCCCTTCGATCGTGAAAATTTCTATTTTATAAATATTTCACCAGAACACCTACTTTCCTCGGTCTTCAAATCTAAATCAAATAAATATGGTTCGGAGCTGATTCTAGTGAAGTTAATCAAACTATGCTTTCCTGTCCTGTTGCATGTTTATAATTTTTCCTTACGAAATTCCAGTTTCCCATCAGTTTGGAAAAAAAGTCGTAGTTCGCTCGTTGAGCCAAATCCCCTCTAAAATTTTCGACTTCAGACTTATCTCCATTCTCACCAATCTTTCAAAATCACTGAAAAGAATAGTTCATTCACATCCTAATATCTTTCTTTCGCAAAAGGATCTCCTCAAACCTCTCCAGTCTGGTCTCCGACTCCAGTATTCCATACAATCTGCTTTGTTGAAAATCACCAAAGACCTTAAATCCTCCGTAGGCAAACATAAATTCTCCGTCCTGTTTCTCTTTGATTTTTCAAAAGCCTTTGATTCAGTCAATCATGAAATCCTCCACTCCAAACTCCAAAACCTCTCAAAATCAAATAGCTTCCTAAAATAGTTCCACTGCTTCTTGTATCATAGATCCCAAAACTCTTATTGACTCATATTGTTCCTCAAGGCTCTTCGCTCTCTCCAACTCTTTTGTTCAGCTATATTAACGAGCTCCCTGATTCCATTTATCATTCACAATACCACATATATGCTAACGAACTCCAATTCTACCCTATACCAATTTAAGGTGATTCAAAGGCTTCAAGAAGATATATACAGTAATATATCGTTGAGAAGACCAAAGCCATTCTCATTAGTTCCAACCATCTTTTAATTCCATTCCTTATTATCCCCTACTCTACCTTAATAAGATGCCTATTCACTTCCACACTTCCGTTAGAAACCATGAGGTAAATTTTTATCAATATATGTCCTGAAATAATCATATTTTCTAAATTATCCAAAAACCTATTACTACCCTCTAGCGGTTCTTGAAATTTCGTGATTCTATGCCATTAAAAACCCTTGATTTTCTTGTCTCCTCTGTTATTTTTTCCACTTCGAATTACGGCTAACATGTATACGGTACTAGATCCAGATATTAGATACTAAATAATAGTAGTAGTTCGTAATCTACCGAAAATTTAACCAAGTGATCAGCGGAAGAAGGTTTGAAAATTGAAAACAGGAGAGATGACGACCTTAATGCCGAAAATTCTGGAGTCAGACGGTTAACCGAAAGCATTTGGTTATGGTAGAATTTAAAAAATTACAAAAACTGAAAAAATTACGTGATCAACAGCAGGATAAAAATATTAGAATACTTTCAGAGCGCAGTAATTTTAGAAAATATGAATATATTTTGGAAGCTTTTCACGGATCTGACATGCAAATTTGAAAAATTTACCAGCAATTATGCGATCAGCAACTGGCAAAAAACTGTTGGAACAGTTTTAGACCACTTAGCAGGTAATTAATTTAATAAAATCTGACAAACTTTTAGAAACTTTTCATGAATCTGAGAAGCAAATAGTTTCAGACAACTTTGTAGGCATCTGATTTAATAAAATCTGACCAATATGTAGCACTTATTACGTGTGGGGTAGCATGACGAAAAATTGGGATTCGTTAGTCCAAGGGTTTTCGCTGCTTTCTATTTCAATCTATCTAATTTCTTTTTTTTTTTTTTTTATTGAAACTAATACATTCTATCACACTGAAGGGCATTGGTACTAGGGCTATAGTATTCATTCACACAATATGTACACCAGAAAGGGGAAAAAAACAAGTAAGAAAAAAAAAATATATATATATATATAAATAAAAAGATAAAGTAATATACAAGATAAGTAAAATAACGATTAAAGCCGAATGATAATAAAATAAATAAAACACTTTCACACCCAGGGGACTCTGAATCAAGCTTTGTCCCCCAAACGTGGAAGCCAAAGCAGGACTCCAGGAGATCCCAGTGCTTCTATCCCAGCCCCGTCACTGTTATTGTAAGCCAGTGGATACTGATGGGGGGCACTAGAGCAACAGACGAAGAATCTGGCCAGTGCCAGTACTCCAATATATACATACACTGACATGCAAAAAAATCCACCCACTTGATTTTTTCATATTTTCATCTAAAAACGCTCGGAGAAGATTAAATGGGTATGGATTAATGGCTTTTCGTCCAGTAAGACGACCAGAGTTGACCAGAATTCACAGAGTAACAGGAAGAATGGAGTGCTGTACTTTTTACAGATGAGTCAAGATTCGCTCTTCGATCTCCAGACGGGCGTAAAAGGGTGTAGAGAAGAAGAAACGAAAGATATGAAGCCTGTAATTTTTCCCAGACCCAACCTTTCTAACGTGGTTCCTTAATGGTGTGGGCTGGGATTTCAATGGAGCGCCGCACAGAATTGTTTGTTGTTCGTGGAGGGTCTTTTACGGCCATTCGCTATGTAGATGAGATTTTGGAACCTCATGTGTTGCCTATCCTCAAAGAAATCAGCGATCGTTCTATTCTAATGCACGATAATGCACGCCCACATGTCGCCCGCATAGTGCAGACGTTCCTTCAACAGAACAATATCGAGGTTTTAGCCTGGCCAGAACGTTCTCCAGATTTGAAGCCCATTGAGCATTTATGGGATAACCTCGAAAGACGAATAAGAGCGCGTCCAACACTGCAGGACCTTGAAAGGGCTCTTCGAGAGGAATGGGCTATCCTCCAGCAAAGATATACTTAGAGGCATTTTTAAACTTAATATTGAAACAATTAATAGCCGGAGACTAAGAAATGTGTTGCAAGAAACGGCACTGAACTAATGATACTGAATAAACATTTTGATTCCATAGAAAGTAAACATTGGAATCTAGAATCATTTCATTGAATTAAGGATTAAGGGTTATTGTCCTCTATATTAACATTCCTAATTGAAAACAAACAAAAAGATAACCAATTTATTCATTAAAAACAATAGACCAATCCAAAGCAGAAATATTTTTAGATGAAAACATGAAAAAATCAAGTGGGTGGAATTTTTTACCTAGTGTGTAAACATCACATCTGTGGTTTCTTTATTAATTTTTTATAAAACGTAGTTTACTGTTATATTTGTTTTACTAATAAATGTTTTGGGCTCTTCAACCACCTGGGTCATTTTAGCCCTATATTACAATTTGATCAGTTACTACACACATAACAAAACTACAGCCAAGAAATACAATTTAAAGTTTAAAAATTTTAGAATAGTTACAGATGAATATTATGGTACAATTGAATTAAAGTTATTAAAATTGAAAGTTAAAGATTTCAAAGGAGATAAGCTAACGATGAAAATACAAATAAAGGTTAAAGATTTTAAGAACAATAGCTAAAAAATACATTTTTAAATAATTAATATTAATAGAAGCGAAGTTAAAGAGTACAGTGTAAATATTAAAAAGTACAAGAACCATTAAAATTAAATATTAAATATTAGAAAAAGAGAAGTTAACAGTGAACAAGGCGATTTAAATAAAAGGTTAATGATTTCAGGAATATAATCTAAAAATACGGTTTAAAAAATAAAATTAATATTAAAAGAAGAAAAGTTGAAAAGCACAATTTAAATATTAAAAATTACAAGAAGAAAAATTGAAAAAAACATTATAATTAAAAACTATGATTAAAAGAAGAAAAGTTAACAGGAATATTTATAATTTGAAGAGGAACCTACAAACTTAAAAATCTTAACAGGTATATTTACAATTACAAGATGTGATTAAATTTTGTGAAATATTTTGATTTCCTTAAGGAACAATATTAAGTTTTTAATAGCATTGATGTCCTTTTGGAGTGATTCTTCAAGGTCATTTCTGAAAAGGCGTTGATCCCTAAGAGATTGGAATGCATAATGGTTAGGATATGGTTCACTGTGAGAGGAACCCCGCAGGGAATACATTGAGTAGGAGAGTCTTTCCTCATTAAATACTCGTGGGTAAGTCTAATATGTCCGATCCTTAGCCGGGTCAGTACCGCTTCTTCCCTTCTGGCCAGCATGATATTAGGAGTGACTCCGGACGTATGGCTCCTCAACCCTTAGCTTATTGTCTCCAGTGGCAGACCAAGTTCTTTGCCAAACCAACCATGATTTTTCTTTGATTAAAGAGACAACTTCAGAAGTTGAGTGTTAATGATTGGTTGACTCTCTTTGATAACTCTCTTCGCCATGCTATCTGCCATCTCATTGCCTTTGATACCGACATGACTTGGTAACCATAAAAATTTTACCATACATCCAAGCATCTCCAATGTTTTAAGATTAGTTAGAGTATCGACAACTAACCAATTTTGAGAAAAAGGCGATATGAAGGCAGATTTTGAATCTGAACAAATCACGGCGCGGCTAGTTTAGCGTCAATGAATTTTACGGCGCGGTTTAGAGAAAATAGCTCAGCGGTGTAGGTAGTAAAAATCTGAGGAAAGGATAACATTATATGATTATTTTCCATCACCATAGCAGCGCCTGCTCCTTCTTTGCTTTTAGACCCGTCGATGTAAATAAATGTCCATTCCTGATGGGCGTTTTTGAAGCGATTAAAGTCTGTTAACGGTATAATTGGCGTATTGCTTTTTGATTTGGTTTTGTTAAGTTTAGGAATAGGGAGTGACGAGGGTTATTTTTTTGAATTTTCGAATTTTGGGATGTATGTGAGTGTTAGATTTAAGTCAGTGAGATAAGATTTATATCTTTCTGGAAACGATAGGCGGTATTTTTTGTGATTTTAAAGAAATATTATGCCTTCAGAAAACAGACGGTTTAGAGGGTGCTGGGGAAGAAAAATTACTTTTATGAAGTAGGATACAGAAAGTGTCTTTCTTCTAAAATCAAAAGGCATAACTCCTGCTTCCACGTGTAGGCTTACCATTGGACTAAAGCGAAAATCACCTAAGTCTAATCTGACTGCGGTGTTTTGGATTGGGACTAACATCTTTTTGGTATTTTCACTGGCTGAATTGTAAACTATACTACCCTAATCAAGTTTACTTAAGGCGAGGCTCCGGTATAACATAAGTATGCTTGTTTTGTCAGCTCCCCATGAATGCCAACTGACCGTTCTTAACAAATTAAGTGACTGAAGACATTCACTTTTGATTTTTTTTTTTATATAAGTTGCTAACGTCAGATTTTTATCAAATATTATTCCCAGGTACTTACTACTTTGAGAATATTCAATTGGCTCTCCGTTTATTTTAATATTGTTTACATTGGGATTTCTGCGTCTCGTGAATAATATTACTTGGAACTTCGTTTTGCGAACCACGCAACGACTCTGTTAACGGTGTTCTGTATAGATGAAAGGGCTGCCTCCTCGAAGCCATCTGACTTGCTTTCCCTTCCGGGGCGGCTACCTAGGAAAGGTGACCCTAGGGTGTGTTGAGTTATTGACCTTGGTCTGTAGTGTTGGGGGTGAGTGTGGTGTGCTGTTATTAGCGTATTTGTGTGAGTGTCTGTGTACTGTTCTTCCAACTTGGAGGACCAGTGGCTGTCTGCGGTACTTTGACCGGACGATGGGGCCGCCATCTCCCTACGCCTAATGAAACCCACATACTACACTTAAAAGAAAAGAACTCAACTGACGATATGAGCAGCTAAATAGACTACGGAAAATAGAAAATCTCAACTTTCAATTGACAACAAATTACTGATCTACAAAACAATCCTGAAGCTGAAGTAGCCATATATCTGAGCTCTGGCAATGGCCAGATTCTTCACTCAAGCCATGGATGTCTGATTATAGCGCCTCTGCTTAGCCCCTACTGGTCCTTAATTCCAGTAACGCGGCTGAGTGAGAGACGCTGGGATCTCCTGTCTTTCCTTCCACGGGGGAGAGGGGGTAAAGGCTTGGCTCGAAGTTTCCCTGAGTGGATGATTTTTTTTCTTATTCTTAATTATTTTATAAAAGTATGTTTGAATTTAAGTTGTTATTTTGATTAGTTTAAGATTTAATTTTTTTATTTATATAAATTTAGTTTTAATTATATTATTTTTCTGTTTAATTTATTTTTCACGAACAGGCCTTAAAGACCACGCGAATATCACGATTTCAAGGCTTCCTCTTCATCTGCCTCCTCTTCTCCCATATGTCCCTCATGAGCTCCGCGTGCTTACGTTTTCTCTCCTCAGACCACGCAACACCCTTTTTGGAGCGCTTCTTTCCAGCAAGAACCGTTATTCCCTTGAGCGCCTTTCTATGCTCATTTCTGTCCAAACAATTTCTGTTCATATCATCCTTAACCTGTTTGAAATACCCGCTAAAATTTTTATGACTGTGGATTCGCTGAAAATTTTTATGATTAAGTCTTTCAGGATTCATCCTCATCATATGGTCATAGAACCCCAGCCTTACCACCCTAGCGTCAGTTTCTAGATCTGTTGTTTCCTTATATATTTCTTCATTTGACCTCAACCTGTATCCTTTAGGTGTTCTCCTAGGTCCGTAGATTCTTCTGAGAATTCTTCTTTCTATTTTCAGAAAACTCTCTAGGCTGGGAAGACAAGACATTTCTGCTGCGTAGAGTACCCCTGGCTTGCCGACCGTGTTATAATGTCGTATCCTAGGTTTTAGAGACAAGTTCTTCTTTTTATAAAGATCACTGGTGGCGAAGCTTAATTTCTCTATTTTGGCGATTCTTTCCTTAAACCCTTCTCTCTCTGACCCATTGCTGCATATGATTTCTCCAAGGTATTTAAATCTCTGAGTTACTTTAATCGTTCCGTATTTGGTTTCAATTGTTTTCTTCTTAAAATTCGCGTCCGTGGTCATCAATTTCTTATTCTTAAGTATTTTATAAAAGTATGTTTGAATTTAAGTTGTTATTTTGATTAGTTTAAGGTTTAATTTTTTTATTTATATACATTTAGTTTTAATTATATTATTTATTGTAAATAGAGTGTAAATTTTCTCTCTGAATACTATTAAAATGTCTATATAACTATAAATGTACCTCGAGACAGATTGTAATATTGCTCAATAAACAAGTAACTTTAAAATTGTTAGTTTTATTTTTTTATACAAAATAAATTGGTGAATTAATATTTCTTTTATACTAAATTTTTATGAGATATTTCCCTAAATAAATATATGTTATCATAGCTTACTTTGTAATTTTTTTCAGCTATTAATAGCTTCAACAAGACTTAAATATAGTTATGTATGTCAACCTATCAGGCATGTTGATCATAAAGAAGAGCTCAGGGTGAGTATCCTAATTTCATTCTTTATAATTTAGAATACTTAATGTATAATTGATTTAAATTGAAACAGTCAAGCCTGATAAAATACAATATAAAAACATTAGTATGTTAATAAACTTCAGCTGAAGTTGTAGAAGTAATTATGGAACTTACAAAATTTTACCAAGACTCGGTTTTACAATGGTTGAACAGCTTTCTGCATATGGCACTCTGTTTTTTATATTCAATTAGATTTTCTGACGTCATAGATTTCTAAAAATTCTTATATGGTCTATAAGGTTCTTTGGTGGCTTTTTTTAAAGGCATCATTAAACCACGGAACAAGTTGTATCTTCGGTTGGCCCAATGTCATCGGTATCGATGATTTAGCTGCTTGCACGTTTGTATTAGTAATGAATTCACAGCCCTTGTCTATATCCACTTCGGATAGAGAGGGTTGAGGTGGAGACGCCAAGGAAGCGACAGTTGACCAATCTGCTCTGGTGAGTGCCCATCTAGGATTCCTGTGTGTGGAGTTCGTATTTATGAATTTTATCAGTATAGGGAAGTGGTCGCTACTGCAGAAATCGGGTAAAACCGTCCAGTCTATAACGTTATAAAGGGCGGAATTCCAGTAAAAAAGATCAAGTGCTGAATCAGTTGCATAGCTAGGGCTGAGGAATGTTTGCTCTCCAGTATTGAGTAGGAGAATATCAGAAATATCTAAAAAATGCGCAATTATTTTTTCTCCGGATCCACATAGAGTATTGTAGCCATTGAGGTTCTTAATAAGTAGAACAGAAGGAGGAAGTTAGCTATCTATATCTAAGAGGTTTTGTGATTCTATTGAACGATCTTGTGGAAAGTATACATTGCAAATTGAAAAGCTTAAGCCGTGGTGAACTCTGATTGGAACGGATTGAATATGCGCGTCAATTGGGATTGATTCAGAATATTCAGATTTATGTACATCTATTAATACTGAATGGTGACTGTGGTTTGGATACAAGCCATCCTTTCTATGTATTTTAAAAATTTTAACGGTGAAGTTGTCTTTTACAGTTATTTGTAAAATACCTCTTGAAGAACAAAGCAACATGGGTCAGTATCAGATATTAATATTTTTAAATTATTAAAATGGTTTTTTAAACCATTGCAATTGCATTAATGACATGATTGGGAATTTTAATTAATGGAATATAACGATGCAGTAAATGTTATGCTGTGCTATTTTACTTTCATTGCTTGGGTTATCTGTCTAACCTTTTCCTTTTTTGTAACTTACTTTACTGTAGCCGTTGTCAGAGTTCGAAAAAATTAACCTCTGTTTAGGCAACTTTCTATTTTAATAAAAAAAGTCAATTAACTCTGATGAGTTCAACGTAGGCAACATTCGACATTATTTTTGACAGTGAAGTATATTTTATTGAATTGGTAGGTTATATGATTTATGAAAAGTAACTCCCCCTTTTATGCTGGCATATAAAAATGTTACTTGGCCTTTAAAGGATGAAGGGTGCCCTCCTCCAATCTTAGTTCCTCTCGTCTCAGATCTCTAGTTCCTCTCTCTCTATTCTTATCAGATCTCTGTTTCTACAACACACCGCAAGGCGGCGTTCGGGTACAAAGTTACGTTCACAAAACAATTTCGATATACTCGACGCTGCCTTCAAGTTGGTCTTTATTCAATGGTTCCTGTTATGAAGACGCGGAGGGCGAGGATTGAGATATATGTGTGGTGAGTGAGGGTGTCGTGGGAATAGAGGTGGTTTTGGCGAATAAGGGAAGCAAGGAAGAAGAAGAGAAGTGGGGTGGGGAGGGAGAAGGCTGCGCGAGTACCGCGGCTGAGGACCTTGTGACCATGGTTCGGTCTATCTTAAGTGCAAAGGATTTTGATTATTAGAGAAAAGGAGGGTGAGGAGAAATTATTAGAAGCTACCTTTGTTTGGTGATTCTTAGAAGCTTTGAACTTAAACAATGCATCTGTTTGTGTGTCTGTTTCCTGCGTTTATATGTATTTTTTTTAGACTTAATGACTTTTGGAAATAACTTATTGAACTGTTGGGACTTTTTCAAACTATAAATGTTTTTTTAGCTTCATTGTAAGATACTTTTTTAATAAACTTATGGTTTTAATTTCTTTATTAATCTGGTAAATAGGACATTTTTTATCCAAAGTGTTATGTTTTTGACCACCGTTAATGCATAGCGGTCCTTTAGTACATTTTTCTTCATCACACTGAGAACAGATAATTTTGGGGTTTGTCCATTTTAATGTAAATCTATCACTTACCGATTTATTTAAATATTTCCAATTTACTTAATATACAGGTCTATTATTAGGTTCTCGGGGATCTACTTTTTAGTAATACTATAGATTTTAATTTAAATCGATTCATTTAAATTTTACACATTCATTCGCTATCAACGTTCACTGCTAGATTTTTAGAGGCTTGTTTTTAAAAAAAAATTGATTATGTATTGATTCATTTAATATTTTTAATATGAGGGTCTAGTCTTGATCTATTGGCATATTGTCGGACATGTTTTATATGAAAAACGTTCGAATTTATGTTTAGTTCTGACAAAATAGCATTTCGTCTAAAATCTTAAAGAAATAAGAAAATTCTCATTTGCATATCATATTTGTGTAAATTTACAAACTTCTCAGATATAAAGATTGATTATTATGTTCCAAGGGAAGAGAATTGAGTTTTCTAGGACGCTTTTTATGAAAAACATTCAGATTTAAGATTGCGCGGTAGCTTGTCATATTTTAGTAAATGTTCTAAATTTTCCGATAAGGGGTTCATTCTTATTTTGTTGATGGCGCTTATTATGAATATTTTATCGTTTTTAAAACTGTGTAATCGACTGTCATGTTTTTATAAATTATCCGATTTCTTTGATGTAAGGGGCTATTATTCCAATATAACAGGAGGTTTTTATGAGAATAATATCAGTTTCATGAATGCGCAATCGCACACCGATATTTTTTAATTCTTTGGATTTCTTTGAAGAAAGGATTAATAATTACGTTTTCGGATGCACTATTTATATAAACACTTATGAAGTGTCGTCCGACAGCATACTAATTGATCTATAGATCGCACAATCTTAAAGTCGACAATATTTTCATAAAAATCGCCCCTTCAACATAAAAGTTAACAATTATATTATATAAAGGAATTAGAAAAGTAACAAAAATCTATGCACGTTTACACAATTTTTAATCACGTATTATTTTTATAAAAGCAATCCTTAATAATAATAATTTCAGATCTGATACCAAATAAATACATAAAGTTAAAATAAATCAAGAGTATTCTAAAACCTACCCTCCCCTTTAGAAAAAATAATAATAATCTTGATAGTGAATAAATCCATACAGTTTAAATAAATAGATAATTATCAAGTTTCATTAAAATTAATACCTAGTATTTTTAAAAAGTATTTCCCCCTCAAACCTGATAATAGACTTATCTATCGAATAAATCCAAAATATTTAAATTAATCAATAAATAATCGATTTATATTAAAATCCATAGAATTTTTAAAAACTAGTACCCCATAAACCTAATAACTAACATTGGTCTCGAATACATTCAAATGTTTTTATAAATCGGTACATAATGGATTTAAATTAGAATTATTAGTATTTTTAAAAGTATACTCCCATAAACCTGATTATAGACCTATACATAGAGTAAATCCAAAATATTTAAATAAATGGATAGGTAACCGATTTACATTAAAATATATTGTAATTTTAAAACTAGGCCACCTAAAAACCTAATAGTAGATCTTGATATCGAATATATGCAAAATTATAAAATAAGAATATACGTAATCAATTTACAATAAAGCAATTTTAAAAACTATTCCCCGAAAACCTAATAATAGACCCTAATATCAAATAAAACGGAAAAGTTTATATAAATCGGTACATAACCTTTTTACATTAAAATCGATAGTAATTTTAAATATCTGGTGTGCATATCATCATACAACTTTTAGTTACCGCTCTATTTCGAACAAAAAATTTTTTCAATAAGACCAAAATTCGGCTATTTCAACAAGTTTTTGACTCGCATTTTTTATCGAGTTAAACCTTAAAAATCATATTTGTAAATTTCCGTCATATTCCTCAATGCTCAGTAAGACCGTCAAAATAACACAAACCCTCTTTATTATATCGACTGTAGGCAATAAAAACCTCATAACTCTATCTGTTTATTTGAATCAGATTCCATTCTCCGAGCTTTATAAACTAAGAGAGATTTGAAAGTACTATGCATATATTTAACTGTGAAAAAGTGATGATCGTACTAAATAGTAAAAATTAACAGGAATTAAATCTCTATCACTTTTTACATATATTTAAATTCTTTTTTTTTCCATAGGAAAATTTACTAAAATACAATTACAAGATTTTAAATACTGTATCGAATGGGTTGAAAGTCGTCACACTAATTGTAAATGTATAATGTTGTGATTTCACAGAAGGAATTTTTTTTGGAAGAAAACAATGATGTATATCTAATTATTCAAGCATAATATCTAAAAGTATTAATCTTCAGTAAATGTGTTTAAGGTTATAAGCATATATTGTACTCATTCATGAAATATTTTTATATTCCCCTTTTTCTTTAACACAAGTGACTACAATATTTTTTTTCCAATTCCATTGCTTCGCATATGTGGATTATAAATGATTTTATTTAAAACACGAACAACTTTTTTAAAAAATTATATTTAGTGAGATAATTTCATTTAGTCGCATCGAAAATATTTAAACAAATCTATATGTGATCGATTTACATTAAAATCTACATTTTTCAGGTAGTTTCAGACTGTTTTATATGTTTTAGTAGATCAGAATATTTGTATACAAGTAAAAACTGAAATCATCCTATATTAGTCGGCAAACCTAACTCAATCCATCCAAAAATAGAATTTACACACGAAAGAGAAAAAGACAACAGCTTAAATTATCTAGACGTGACAATAGTAAGACAAAAAC